CTGATAACATGATAAGCTGTCCACTGTAGCAACCGTATTGACTAAAAGCTTCTTGAAAGTGTCATGTGCTGGATCTTTTGGTTCACTGCTCCATTTTCAAAATGACATTGAAACCGCCAGTGACGTTAACATGAAAATGGTTCCGTGTCTCTCTCGCAGGGTGACCAACGTTTTCTACGAGCAGTACCTGACGATCGTACCAGAGGGCCTCTTCAACATCTCACTGTGTCTGCTGCCAACATTTGTTGTGTGCTGTCTGCTTCTGGGCCTGGACCTGCGCTCCGGTCTACTCAACCTCATCACCATCATTATGATCACTGTGGACACTGTTGGGGTCATGACACTCTGGGGAATCCATTACAATGCCGTGGCCCTCATTAACCTGGTTACAGTAAGTGCACAGATTTGACGGTCAGTCAATGAATCGAACAATCAAAGCAGTCTGATACAATTAAGTTACAGACATTAATCCATGTTTCTCTTTTTTGTCTATGTTGGTCATCTTTTGATTGCAATGATTTACAGGCAGTGGGCATTTCTGTGGAATTTGTGTCCCACATGACGAGATCGTTTGCTCTCAGCATAAAGCCCACACATGTGGAGCGAGCCAAAGAGGCCACCGCCAACATGGGCAGTGCAGTAAGTTGCATAGTCTGCTACAGTTGACATCAGGACATTTCCAAGTGTGTATCCACGGCTGTCTAAGAGGGTTTGCTTTGACCAAAAAGGTGTTCGCTGGTGTTGCGATGACCAACCTGCCCGGCATCCTTGTTTTGGCCTTTGCCAAAGCGCAGCTTATCCAGATCTTCTTCTTCCGCCTCAATCTGGTCATCACACTTCTGGGGATGGCTCATGGACTCATCTTCCTCCCTGTGGTGCTTAGTTACTTTGGTAAGTGTTTTTGTCAACAATAACAAATATTTTGCATGTCAAGCTTTGGGGTGATATTTCCGGATTTAATTTGACCTTTTTCTAAGCTTTTTGAATGCTCACCTGGAAAGCTTTAGAGTGCATTTTAGGATCAAACTGAAAGTTCAACAGATAGCAAAATATCCTTAACATTTTCTGAGTGAAATGAGCATGCTGGACAAACAACATATCATCACCATTTTGTGCTTTAAACAGGGCCCGGTGTGAATAAAGCCATGCTGGTGCAGATGCAGCAAGCAGAGGCAAAGACCCGCCAGGAATTGGAGCTGACAAACAACATGAGACAATTCTATGATAACATGAGCTATGAAGACGATGAGGCAAAGGAGGAGCCACACGCCAATGCTACAAAGGCTACTGTGTACGCCGAAGGCCCACCACCGAGTGTGAAACACAAACAGGAAGTGAAAATTGACCATTTTTGAGCTCCAAGAA